TCAACCGAGATCCGTACAATGTTCAACCGAGATCCGCAGAATGTCCCATGGCCGATCTGCAGTGGCTTGCTTTCCCACCGTTGAAAAACAATGCGTCTTCATCACCAACCACACAGTGCAATCCCAGGAAAAGCTATCTACTCTCTGACTGATATGTCTTTAACAAATCCAGGTATTGTCCCTACTCCACACCAAGGATTGTCTACTTAATGTAGATAAACAGAAGCTGTGATGAAAGACCAAGAAATGAAGGATGGTAAGTTTTATGTACTCTTGTCGGCTGAGCAGTTCTAACCATATCTTAGGAACGGCCGAGGCTCTACCCCCTCTTCAACCAAGTGGTGAGTTCCAGTCAGTGACAGAAAACTAGCCAAACCTAAATTCTGGGTGGCCGATAGGACAGAGCCAAGAATCCGAACTAGTGATGGAAGTGGATGTCCCATCCTCGGCTCCTCACAGATCCATTTTCGATTTCAAAGAACCTACCCCTGCTCTAAGTTCCAACCCATTCACCCCAGCCTCGGCTCACCAATCCATTTTCGAGTTTAAGAAAGTCGGTACTTCAGCTTTTGCCCCGACCTCGGCTCATCAAGCATCAATGTTCGATTTTCAGCACGTGGGCACTTCAACGAATGTGCCGCCTGTTTCCCCGTCCTCGGCTCATCAGCCATCGATTTTCGATTTCCAGAAGCCTGGCAGATCTCCACCAGCCTCGGCTCGTCAGGCATCCATTTTTGATTTTCAGCAAGTGGACACTTCAACGAATGTGCCGCCTGTTCCCCCGTCCTCGGCTCGTCAGCCATCCATTTTCGATTTCCAAAAGCCTGACATCCCTGCACCAGCCTCGGCTCGTCAGGCATCGATTTTTGATTTTCAGCAAGTGGACACTTCAACGAATGTGCCGCCTGTTCCCCCGTCCTCGGCTCGTCAGCCATCCATTTTCGATTTCCAAAAGCCTAACAACCCTGCACCAGCCTCGGCTAATAAAGGATCCCCTTTCGATTTTCAAGTCCATCGTTCATTTACCCCGGCCTCGGCTGTTCAGCCTTCCATTGATTTTCAAACACCTGGCACGTCTGCTCCAGCTCCTGCCTCTGACAAACCAGGCATGTCTTCCCCTGGCGCCTCAAGGTCCAATAGTACTCTGGGATCACGGAAGTATCTGACGAAATCACAAGAGGCCAAATTACGACTCCAG